TCTATCTATCTATCTATCTATCTATCTATCTATCTATCTATCTATCTTGAAGAGAGCCATTATCCTTCTTCAACATCAGTATGAGATGGGGCAGAAATATTCAGCCTTACAGGATTGTAACAATTACTATTGAGTCAGTTTTATCTAAAGATTAAAAGCAGTAGGCTAGAAACTGGGAGATTGAGTGCCTTATCATTGGATGACTTTGGGCGAGTCATTCTTTTCAGGTTTAGGAATAAAGCAATAGTAAGCAAGAGAAATATTGCCAAGAAAATTGTATGGATTTAAGCAGCCAATCACCAGGAATCATGACTGATTCAAAAGTCATCATCATATCATCATCATCATGAAATCATAGATGAAAAGAGCTCTGCATAATCTAAAAATACATTTCTTATTATATGTTATGCCCAAGACTTGGTAAACACTTCAACACTTTTGCCTACTCTACATCCCCTTACACTGTCAAATTACCAATAGCCATTCAAGATCAACTCTTAAGAGCATCCTTAAGCATGATGTTCAAGGTATCAATTGAAAACATACACGAATGACTGTTGGAGTACATTATTAAACAATAGAGCTCTGCACTGTCAGGGCTGGCTAGAAAATCAAGTATAAATTTTAAACCTGAGCACAGTAGCAGGCTATAAGATTAGCCACTTATCTCCAAATAAATAATTTAAGAGCCATATAGGATGCCCAGTGAAAGCTTGCACTTGGTTGAATTGTTTTACTTTCCCTTGACAGGTTTATTTCTATTGGATTTGCCGAGATCCATCTGCCTTTGAGTGGTTTGCTGATCTCCTGTGCTTGCTGGAAGCACAAATGGCTAAGAAAGGGAAAGCCTATTTTCTAAGCTATCACATATTTCTTACCGACTGGGATGAAAGTCAGGTATAAATGAAATCTTCTGGGACTGAGTTACTGCATCTTATTTTTCTAGGACTGCAGCCTAAGGAACAGTAATCAAATGAAGGCTTAATCGCATCAAGCATGGCTTTCATAAAATGAATCATACTTACATTTGTCTTTTGAAAGACTCTGTTCCCAGTGCAGTGTCACAGAGTCCCAGCTATGCCAAAGCAAATGTCAAAGCTGGGTTTAATGCCAAAGTTCTCAGTAACTGCAGGAGTATCCAGATCTGTGATTGCTCTCCAAAGCCCTTTTCTTCCCTTCTCATCTATCATTCTCCTCTCCCTTCCTCTCTGTCCTGAGGCTCAGCTAGCTACCAATTCACTCAATCTGCTGATATCACTGAACTTTCCTTTATGGTGCTAGAGTACCGGTGTCACGGCTTGTACTTCAGTTCCTACATGCTATTTGGGGGGACGGGGTTGATAGATGAGCCTATATGAAATAAATGTCAACCCTGTTGCTGGAGAACAAGGAAAGACTTGAAGCTGCCTTTAAAGACACCTAAGCATGAGTTTGGACAGATTCACCTCAGATGCTGGTTCCATCAGTCAATGGCACTTCATTGACTGGAGAACCTTTGGGCCATCATACGTAATTATCATAATATTGGATGATGTTTTAACATTTACATGGATTAATCTTTTTCTAACAAAAAAGGATGGAAGCAGACTTTTCTGCTCTTTCTTTGCTCCAAGAACCTCACAAAGAATCCTCTTACATAGGGCTGTCAAACTTCCAGCCCATGGGCTAGATGCATCACGTGCTGGCCATGCCCACGTCCAGCTTAGCAAAGCTTGGGGGGAAGTCACCCCAACAATCACAACAATCAGTGATGACACTGTAACGACATGAGTTTGACACCCCTGCTCTAACAGTTGGAAGATCTAGCTGATTGGCATAAAGTGAGAGATGGGAAACAGAATCACTGAAAGTTGACAGAATGAACCCAAATTTCAGAGAATCTCCCTCCCTCCCTTTCATCTCATCTCTCTATATCTTTCAATTGGTTCCTCTGTTTCTGAGCAGTCTTTGGAGTCCCTCAGGGGAAACCTGAATGGGAATCAAGGACTGGGAAATATCTGATCTTTTCCCATTATATCTATATATTCATTTGTCCAGTAGTAATATTCTCTTTCTTCTTAATTCTGAAATGATGACTTTTTGATCCACTGCAATATAGGCTATGCACATTGCCTTGCATTACGAGAAAAAGGTGGATGTAATTACTGGCTTGAGACAGAAAACTTTCTATGGGAGACCAAATTGGGACACTGAATTCAAACAAATAGCAGAAAATCATCCTGGGTAAGGCATGTTAGCAACTCCTGATGATATCACCATGCTATGTTTTTCCCAGTGTTACAAAGATAGGAAGGAAACTTGTTCTTTGATATATTTAAGTTGGATATTTATACTAAAAGCATATTTATGTGTTATAATGCTTTCAAGGAAGAAATCTTGAGTAGGCAATGCCATCAAATCTAATTTTTGGACATGAAAATCTAATGTTTGAAAGTATTTCAGCTTCTTGGCATTTATCCAGCTATAATTGAAAGCCCCAATCCAATTATTGTTAAACAAAGGACAAAGTAACATTAATTTTCATTGAAAATGGTTATTAAAAAGATAAACAGTGAGGTCTTTTTTCTTAGAATGTCAAGGATGTGTTTGTTCCCCAATCTCATTGGCTGTGGATGTAAGGACAATGCTATTATGTTATTAGTTCATCTCAGCTTGAAAGGCCTAAGTTGAATACCAGAGGATTGGGGGTGGGTGTTGTTTTTTGGGGCTAGAAAGTCTTAGAAAAGCTTCTTTGTTCCCAGAGAGTTCTGAAGCAATCATTACAACTGCTAACTTCAGAAAAGAGGAAGAAAAATAGTTCTGATTACTTATCAGACCCCAATATTTAATTATCTGTTGATCAGAAACTAAAATCAGTGCCATGGAAAGGAAGAAAGAATTGGACTATTTTTAAGATATGCAAACGAAGAAAAAAAAATAGTGCAAACCTTGTCTGATTGCTCAGAAATAAACTCCATCGACTTCCGGTTTGAGCCTCTTCGCGGACAGACTGAAACCACGATAGTGCGTGGTTTCAATCTGTGCTCGCCGCTGGAACGCCCCGAGCCGGCTGGTTTCGGGGCTAAGCCACCCCGGAGAGGTGGTGAAGAGGGGGGAGACTGCCAGCAGGGTTGAGGAGAGCTGCATCTCTCCTCCTCAGCTGGCCATTACTCCCTTTCCCGAAGGCGGTTGCAGCGGTGGTCAGAAATGGCCCCTTCAAAAAAGAACTCGACCGGAAAAGAATGTGCAGGAGGAAGATAAGAAGAGAAAGTTTTGGTTGACCGGGTTAAACTGCAAAAGCAACAACTAAGGTACCCTGGAATTTAAACTAAAAAAAAAAGTAACATTGTTCCCAAAGAAGATTCTGAAGCAGCGAAGGAGAGAGAAAAGGGAAATGATTTGGTTTTTTTTCTTCTCTCCTTTTCCCTATACTGACAGCTAAGAGATCTAAATAAGAAATTGGAAAAAAAGTCCACTTTGACATCAATAAGTATTTAAGCTGCAAATAAAATGTCAAAGGGATAATAAAGATTTCTGGATACTTAAAACCTTTTAAAAGCAGGAAAGGAGAGAAAAAGAATAAAAGGGCAGGATCTGGAAAAAAGGGAGGAGACTGCCTGGAATTAAAAGGAATTTACAGTAAAACCTCAACAAGACTTCTAAAAGATACATTTTAACTGAAACTTGGCTACAAAATAGTAGAACCCCAGGAAGAGAAAGTGGAAAAAAGAAGCAAGAAGAAACAGCTTGGGAGTATTTGAATTATTTGGTGATCTCTGGATTTTTGGTTATTGCATTTGAATGACTAAAATCAATTGGGTGGTTGTTTAAAAGTGTTTTAAAATGGCACTACTTTTAGATGAACTGAAAATGGAACTTAAAAAGTACAAAGAAAATGGAACTTAAAAAATACAAAGAAGGGAGAGGTTCTTTTGGCTTCGTATTTCAATTCTTAGAAATGGAGATCTCGAACTATGAGAAACAACAAGAAATGCCTGCAGAAGAAGAAGACTGGGACAAAGAAGAAGCCATCGTTAATGAACAAGTAATTTTATGCGGGGGGGGGGAGGAAAGGAGGGAAAGAGAACGAAAAGTTTAAGATTTGAAAAAACAACCAAGAAAAGGAATTATAACTTGAAAAATAAGTATAATATTAGAAAGCAACAGAAGAGAGGAATACAGAAGAGAGAATTAGAACTAGAGAGACAAAGGGGGTAAAAAGGGGAGGGAGAAGAAGAGAGGGAAGAAGGAAAGGAAAAGAAGTTATAAAGGGCAGAAACAAGATATGGAGAAACAGGGCCTATTTAGAGATAATGGGTGAAATTTTAATTGAAAAAGGGATTCTGCAAAGGTACATGATAGTATTGTTATATTAGAAATAGAAATAATTTTACAAAATATGAAACAATGTATGATTAAAATGATGGATAAAATAGTTATTGTAATCTAGTGAAATGTTTGTTAATAAATAAATGAAATAACATGAATGAGAGAATTGAATTAGGAAAGGATGGGAACATTTTAATTATTTAATGTTTTATAAAATATAAGGGAAGAGAAATAGGGGGGGAAATTAATTACGGAAAGCTTATAAGTGTTCCCAAGGAAGTATGATATTTAATTGAAAAGTAATGTTAAAGATGTTAAGACTTTAATGAATATTAATGATAGAATTGAATTGGAATGGAATGAGTGTTTTAATTACATATATTTATAATCACTTTTTAAGAATATAGTGTGTATTTTAAGAATGTACCAAGCAGAATTTGATTGTAAGTTATGTATTATATTGAATGTTATAACCTCAAGGTATATATTGAAGCTTAAATAAGAGTTGAATGGATACAATTAAAAGATATAAAGGTGTCATACTCCAATTAGTAACAACAGGAGAAAATTTGTTTAATGAGAAAAGAAAATATGAAATTGAAACAGGACAGACAAAAGTATAAATATAATGATTTGAATTGATATGAGATAATTAAAATAAAATTGAGAAAATTAAGAGAGGAGAAAAACTATGTAGAAAACGTAAAACAGTAATAAGATATGGAATAGAACATCAAAGTGAGCATGAAATTGAGTTTGTGTCTGTATGAAGAAGTGTAACCCAGGACCATGCTATTTTAAAAAAAAGATGTTTTATTTGTACTATGGTGGTTTTTTTTGTGAAAACCCAAATTAAAAAAAAAAAATTTTTAAAAGAAAGAAAGAAATAAATAAACTCCATCAATTTCAGCAGACCATAATATATGTAACTAGATTTGCAGATTCTTTAAAATAGTATGTAACACATACAATTTTATAAGGGGAAACTATAATTAGACAATATAACCTAGTCGATATTTAATCTAAGAATTGCTAAATAGGGATTTGTGCAGGACAGAAAAATTCTGCAAATTATCTATGATAAATTTTATGAAATATACAGTAAAGTTTATAGATGTCTAGTATTCATAGCTGTGAAAGTTGGACCATAAGGAAGGTTGAGTGCCAAAGAATTGAGTCCTCTGAACCAGTGGTGGGATTCAAATTTTTTTACTTTCGGTTCTGTGGATATGGCAGGGGAAGGATGCTGCAAAATCTCCAATCAGAGGTGGTATTTGCCAGTTCTCCGAACTACTCAAAATTTCTGCTACCGGTCCTCCAGAACTGGTCAGAACCTGCTGAATACCACCTCTGCTTTGAACTATGGTGCTGGACAAGACTCCTGCAAGTCCCTTGGACTGCAAGGTGATCAAACTGGTCAGTCCTAGAGGAGATCAACCCTGACTGTTCTTTAGAAGGCCAGATCCTGAAGATGAAAACTCAAATATTTTGGCCACGTAATGAGAAGGAAGGACTCACTGGAGAAGAGCCTAATGCTAGGAAAGATTGAGGGCAATAGAAGAAGGGGACAACAAAGAATGAGGTGGCTGGATGGAGTCACTGAAGCAGTCATTGTGAACTTAAATGGTTTCCGGGGGATAGTAGAGGAAAGGAAGGCCGAGAGGATCGTTGTCCATGGCATCACGATAGGTCAACTAACAATAACAACAACAATTATTCATAGATGTCTCCTATTAAAATCTGTTCTCTATTTTCTGAGTGAAGATAATATGAAAAAATTAAATGGGTATCTTCCATTTATTATATTGACATAATTCCTCATGTGAGGACTCAGCAAATCTTCTGAGCAATGTAACAATGTATTTATAAGTAGTCCTCACTTACCCATTACTCATTCAGCAACCATTCCACGTTATGATGGCACTGAAAAAGGACTTATGAATGGTAATCAAAGTTGCAGTTGTCACAGCATCCCTATGATCATATGATCACAATTCGACAGCATATATTTATGATAGTCACAATGTCAGGTCACATAAATTACCATTATAACCTTCCTAGCCACTTCCAATGAGCATTGAGCAAAGTCAATGGGCACAGTAGAAAGTTGTAAGTCACAATCATGTGATATCATGTTTAATGGCTGATAGCTATTTGTTTCATGATTACAGCCGGAATTGATGTCATAAGTCAGTGTAGTCATGTGACATTTCACTTAATGACCTCGCTGCTTAGTGATTGAGTTGTTGGTCCAAACTGCAGGGAAGATTATCTGTATTTCTAATATTTCTAATAGGCCTAATAAGGGATTGACTCTAAGATAAAACTGACATCACATACTCTATACTCTTTATAACTTCCAAAGCTTGGCTAGATATCTACTGTATTTCAAAGCCTGATCAATACATGTGGACTACAACTTTACCACAGGTGTAGCCAATAACAAAATTGTGAAATTCTCTTTTCAAGAAATCTTGACAGGTACAAGATTATTCTTCTTACTAACATTGAAATACCTTTAAAGGCAAAGTCCTGAAAGCAATTAACATCAACTAAATACATTTAGAATTTAAAAAGAAAAATAGAATTAAAAACAATCGTTCTAATTAAAAATAATTTCATTCCTAACAACTGAGACGCTTAAAAACCTAGCTTGGAGCATACTATCAACTAAACAGTGATTAAGCTATGCAAATCCTTTAAACATTGATAATATGTGATGTTTCTTCCCTGTCTCCCTTCTGGGAAGGATTTCTATACATTTGGGATCACTGCAAAAAACGTCCTGTAATAAATGTTGATAGTTGTCCAATAGTCAAGACAGTAAGTCTAAAAGCCACAATGTCACAATACCATCATGATTTCCATAATAACGTCATGATGCATTGTGTAGGTAGTGATATTCTCCAGGGATGGGAAGATGTGGAAGCTTTTTTTCAAAAGGTTTTTAAATGTTGCCTCTTTTGTATTTTACTGACACAAAGACATTGCTGTACCACTTCAGTCATATTATTGTGATCCCTTTCAGATCTCCTGCTTCTAACATATATGTATAATTTTTCTATTCAAGGAAAGGGTTCTTAATCGTAATTTGTGAATCTTGATTTTCATTGCAGCAACCGCATTGGTGTGTTCTTTTGTGGATCTAAAACTCTTTCTCGGAATCTTCAAAAGATGTGCAACCGGTATTCATCCACTGATCCAAGAGGCATTCAATTTTATTATAACAAGGAAAGTTTCTAGAACTTATTTTTAAAATGATAGCCGGTAATTGCATGCTTGGAGCAATGGAAATGCATCATTTTGAAACGAGTGTTTGTTATTCAGTAAAGGAACTTATATCTCTATTACTATGAATGCAGATACTTTAAAATACCTTAAATTCTTAAATGTTATGCCCTATTTGATTATAGGCTGCATGCTTTATTATTTCCTGTAAATCATTAATAAGAGCCCTCTGGGAATAGAATGGATTATAATTTTTAAAAAAAATAAAATAATCCAGGAAACATAGACATCAAGACTAAGTTTGCTGTCTCTTCATTAGCTTTGAATAAGGCACAGTTTATGTGTAGTTTTCATTTCAGAAGCATAAGAAGACTCTCTGGTTTTACTAGCTGAGCTGGTGACATATCTGAAGACAGTCTCTGAAAATACCAGAATGATCTGGATAGAGGTTCTCAATATTCTCTTGATCAGTGGTGGGATTAAAAAACTCTGTGGTGCGCCCCGTGGCCATATACGGCGCAGAGTGCTGGCCGACGACCAAAGAAGTCGAAAGCAGACTCCAGACAATGGAGATGCGAATGCTCCGATGGTCGGTAGGCCTCACCCTACTCGATCGCGTCAGGAATGAAGAAGTGCGCAGACGGTTCAACGTCGTGCCCATCCCCACGGTCATGAGGCAGTCCCGGCTACGATGGTTCGGCCATGTGAGTCGCGCCAAGGAAGAATCCATCATCAAATCTGCGATGAAGGTGATTGTTGGAGGAGCGAGACCGCGTGGTAGACCTAAGCAACGCTGGATGGACACGATCAAGGCCGATCTAGAGATCGCGAAGGCAGACCTGACATACGTGGCAGACAGAGAGGCGTGGAAGCAGTACTCAAGGACATTAGCGGACCTCGCCAGAGCGCGAGACAAACGCTGAAGAAAAAGAAGAAGAAGAAGAAGTGGTGGGATTAAAAAAATTTTTACTACCATTTCTGTAGGCGTGGCTTGGTGGGCGGGATATGGTGTGGCTTGGTGGGTGTGGAATGGCTCGATGGGTATAGCAAGGGAAGGATATTGTTTTTTGTGCCAAATAACACAAAACATATGCCATACTCTAAGTATAAGTATTTATACTTATAAATACTGCCATCAGTGGTGGTATTCAATTTTTTTTTACTAATGGTTCTATGGATGTGGCTTGGTGGGCATGGTGTGGCTTGGTGGGTGTGGCGTGGCTTGATGGCATGGCAGGGGAAGGATACTGCAAAATCCCCATTCCCTCCCCACCCCACTAACCTGCTTTCCAGCTCTGTTCTCCTGTGCAGGGCAATAAAATAAATAAAATAAAATAAGTAAAATCAGGAGGCAGAAAATAGATGGGGGCAAGACCAGTTAGAGGTGGCATTTGCCAGTTCTCCAAACTACTTAAAATTTCCACTACTGGTTCTCCAGAACTGGTCAGAACCTGCTGAATACCACCTCTGCTCTTGATGTTTTCGTCTATCTACAAAGCTAATCTATATCATACCCTTTAAAGTATTAACTTTTCCCCTAACTCTGTATCTATGTGCAGCCTGCCATCAAAATGTACTATATCTGATCATAATAGAATAACGTCCACTTTGATCATTTGAGGTTTATTTGTAGCTATTTTCCATTCAAAATAAGGTACAGGGGGTCCTCACCTTACGACCACAATTGAGCCCAAAATGTAGGTTGTGAAGTGAGATATTTAAGGGAGTTTTGTCCCATTTTACGACTTGTCTTGCCACATTGGTTAAGCTAATCACTGTCGTTGTTAAATTAGTAACACCATTGTTAAGTGAATCTGGCTTCCCCATTGATTTTGCTTGTTGGAAGGTCACTAAAGGAGATCATGTGACACTTCAACCGTCATAAATATGAACCAATTGTCAAGCATCCAAAAGTAAATCATATGACCATGGGGATGCTGCAATGGTCATAAACGTGAAAAATGGTCATATAGGTCACTTTTTTCAGTGCTGTTGTAACTTTGGTCACTAAATGAACTGGTTTTTTTCATGGTTAAATAGTTTTATTAGTTTGTAAAATAGCATACAAAGAAAATACAAAAATAAATAGTCGGGAAAATAGGGAAGGGAAAAGGAAAAGGGGAAAGGGGGGAAGAAAAAAAAGCCATTGACTTCCAACTCCCTTTGGTGCAGTAGAATAAGGCATTAACACAGTGGTGGGATTCAAAAAATTTTTACTACTGGTTCTGTGGGCGTGGCTTGGTGAGTGTGGCAGGGGAAGGATACTGTAAAATCTCCACTCAGAGGTGATATTTGCTGGTTCTCCAAACTACTCAAAATGTCCGCTACTGGTTCTCCAGAACTGGTCAGAACCTGCTGAATACCACCTCTGCATTAACATCAAACCTCAACTTTTTTACTTTTACATAATTGTACTAAGTAGCCATTTCTATAACAGCAATGTTTCTATCTAATCGGTAAAACCCAAAATCAAATTTTCATTTTTTTCCCACCTCAAGCACAAAGTCCAGAAGCGGTTTCCAAAAAGAAATAAAGGTATTTGTATTTTTTTTCCCTTGATCAAAACAGTCAATTTAGCTGTCTCTGCTAACTCCATCAGTCTTTTGCAGTCATTCATCAACTGTGGGCATCGACGTGACTTTCCATTGCTGTACATAAAGTAGTCACTAAATGAACTGTTGTACATCAAGGACTACCTGTAGAGCTTCTTTGCTTTGCTGAAACTGTCCAAAATTTTAACGTATCTGATAGTTTCTCCCGAAGGGATTCACTCTGATTTACATCAATTAATATTTCATCCCCCAAAGACTCAAGAACTATCTATTAATTTTATTTAGAAGATAGAAGTTCATCAGCTGGGTACCAGCACATCATTTGTAAATGAGATTAGATTTATACTTGTTTATCACTAACAGCTGAAAAGGAGATAATGAAGACACCACAATGCTGGCTCCCTCGGCCAAGTCCTCAAAACCCTTCATTTATTTATTGACTGTTCAAACTTACAACAGCAAGGACAAAAGAGACTTATTACCATTTGTCATATTTATAACTCTTGCAGCATCCCCATGCTGACATGATCAAAATTCAAGCCCTTGACAAGTGGCACGTGTTTATGACAGTCACCGTGTCCCGGATTGTGTGATCACCATTTGTCAGCTTCTGATAAGCATAATCGACAAGGGAAGCCAGATTTGCTTAATGATCACATGATTCATTTAACAGCTTTATGTTCATCTCCCTTTCTTGGCTGAGGGAGCCAGCATTGTCCAAAGACAATTTCCAAAGTCACATGGCCAGCATGGCTATACGCCAAAGAATGGCCAGCATGGAACAGTGTTACCTTCCTATCAAAGTGGTACGTATTAATCTACTTGCATTTGCATTCTTTCCCACTGCTAAATGGGCAGGGGGGCTGGGCAGGTAATGAGAGTTCACTATGTTGCATGGAGGTCAGGCCTTGAATCCAGTCTGTCAGATCTCCAGCTAACAAGCTCAGCATCTTTAACTGCTGATCCATCACATTGCCCTTTTCTTTACATGTAGGATCATAAAAAGATGCCCTTCAAACCATTATTTCCTTTAGGTCCATGTTGTCTATAAGGTATATGTCTTTCCTAGGCCTGTCTGGAGATGCCAGGGACCTAGAGACACATGCATGACTATTCAGCTTCTATGTCTTCCCTGTTTCATCTCTTTTCTTTCACTGCAAATGCTGCTTTTTTAAAGTAGGATTACCGATAAATGACATGCAATACATATAGGAAACATGCCATCCTCAATCAAGTTTGATTAAAAAAAATAAATGAACCTATGGAAAATCCGAAGAATGAATACCCTGGCCGCAGTTGAGTTCTACACTAAATAAAATAAAGGCATTTCAGTTTCACTGAAGGGAAAATCTGATAATGCATTTATTGATGTATGCAATAAAATCTGAAGTATAAAATATCCTATTTGTATTACAAGGTGAATAAGACAAATGGCAACATTACACACACACAGAGAGAGAGAAAGAGTGAGAGAGACACCAGGATGTGTACATCAACAAACATGTAAGGCAAGCAAAAATCCGCAGAAATCTAAAAACATTTTGTCAAATGCTACTGTCTTTCATTCGGGACCCGAATTTATGAGGAGGCTAAAAGACATCTTTGTTGTATGATGATGCATCTTTATTTCCAAATAGTTTTCATAGATGTGTGGTGTATGTAAAAATGATTAATGTAAGCCATAGACTGGGACCATGAAGCAAATGATGGATGAATCTGCGCGACTTTGCCCCAAAGCGATCCCCTTCCTTGAGCTTCAGAGTTACTTGACACATTTTAAATATCTTTTGATATGGTAAAGGGAGGGAGAGAGGGAGAGTGTGTGTGTGTGAGAGAGAGAGAGGCAGAGAGAGAGAGACAGAGAGAGAGAGATCAAACAATGGGATGCTTATATGGAAACTATTATCCACTGCTGCTCGATAAAAGAGAAGAGATGATCATTTCCTGCCAATGTTGAATGATTACTTGGAAGGTCCTATATAGGAAGTAACGACATTATACTCCTATACTATTTCCTGCTTGCCCCTATTCCTGCACAATCAGTATTTAGTGTGTCTCCCGCAACAAGATCTAATGTTTTTCTTCTGGCTCAGCACGGCTTCTCCCCACTGCTTTGATTTATTCTCACTTTTGCAAATCACTGTGCTATGTGGCAGAAGATGCCTTTGGAGCCCTTGTGAGTAGTTCAGTGAGGAACAGAACTGTTATCGCTGCAAGAGGCAAATTTCACTGGCATCGGGATAAGTGTCTGAGGAAAAAAAGAGAGAGAAATAGGAGGAGGAAGATAGGCAAGGTTGAAGCACTTGAACGAAGAAAGATCACTTTCTTACAGATGCTGTTAAACTCAAAAAAGATAATAGAAAAAGGATGTGGAGTACCCTGCTTGAAGGGGGAAATTTTTTTTACACATTTGTTGAGATAATAGGAGAATTCATGCATTGTTGTATATTTGCATCTGGTGCA